AAGGATTTCTTTGGAGACCAAATAGTTTACTATATCAGCAAACCATTATACCATTATAGATTTTGAATATCAAAAAGATGCTCATCGGGAAAGGTTTCGTGGATCGATATCGGGTCTTCTAGTGGTATTAGTCGGCTTAGATGATCAGCTACCATATTTTCTTTCCCTATATTATCTCTGATTTCTATGTCAAATTCATGTAGCAGTAGAATCCATCTGATTATTTTTTGGTGAAAAGGTACCGAATGGTTGCGTGATTAGAAAAAAATTATGACTTTTGTCCCCAACAATTATTGTCTCAATTTCTCCGGCATGTAAACAATGGACAACGACTCTTTTTCTATGGTTGAATAATTTGAAGCATAATAAATAATATGGGGGACCCAATCTTTCTTTTGACCCAACACAACTCCAACAATATAATTGCTCGCGTCACACATGATCTCGAAAGGAAAGCTCCAATCTAGTGGCTGAATAATGGGGGCATAACTGAGTAAATTTATTAACAAGTCAAAAGCCTTTCTGCACTATTCATTAAAATCAAACTCTGTATCTTTTTGTAGTAACTGGCGCATGGGCACTATGATCTTTGAGGTGTCTTTAATAAACCACATGTAAAAACCTTCATGTCCAAGAATAGGACCGCACTTCCCGGACACTCTTCGGGTAGGATAAGCTTTTGATAATATCTAGTTTAGCCTTGTTTACTTCTAAACATCTTTTTGAAAGAGTATGACCCAAAATCAAAATTTAGGACCATAAAGTGACATTTTTCAAAATTTTGGACTCGATCTGTTTCAATGCATCTTTGAATAATTTTGATGAGGTTTTTAAAACAAGTATCAAAGTAATCTCTATAGATAGTAAAATCATCCATGAAAACTTCTATGTTATTTTCTACATACTCAGAAAAATACTTACCATACAGCTTTGAAAGATGGCAGGTGTGTTGCAGAGTCCAAAGGGCATCTGTCTATTGGCGAGAGTTCCAAATAGCCAAGTGAAAGTTGTCTTCTCCTGATCTTCTAGAACAACTGCAATTTGATGAAATCCCGAGAATCCATCCAAACAGCAGTAATGTGACTTCCCAGTAAGTCTTTCCAACATCTGATCAATGAACAGAAGTGGAAAGTGATCATTTTCGGTGTCAACGTTAGTTTTCCTATAATCGATGTAGACACGCCATCCACTTTGAACTCGATTTGGGACTAACTCTCCTTTATTTCCACTACCATCCCTCTAGATTTATTTGGAGTGACTTGAACTGGACTGACCCATTTGTTGTCAGATATTGGGTATATCATTCCAGCATCCAAGAGTTTCATAATTTCCTTCTTAACCACTTCCATTATTGGTGGGTTCAGTCTTCACTGCGCTTCTCTTGAAGTCTTAAAATCTTCTTTCATCAGTATTTTGTGCATGCATAAAAATAGGTTGAGTCCTTTTATATGAGTTATGGTCCATCCAATTGCGTTCTTGTATTGCTTCAAAATCCCAATCAGTTTATATTCCCTCTTTTCTTAAAGCTTGTTGGATATAATGTCTGGGAGTGTTTCTTTTTCTCCAAGAAGCGTGTATTTTAGATGTTTTGGTAGAGTCTTCTGCTCCAAGTTGGGTGCTTGCACTACATAAGGAAAAAGCTTGTAGTTAGAATCAAGTAATTTCAGAATCTGATTGTCATACCTGATTTTTCTTTTCTAGTCCATGTAGGTTGCCATTTCTTTCACTTGCTTGTCAAGAACATATTTTTCTGATAAAACATAGGTTTGCATTAACAGACAAATTTCTATGGAGCACTAAAGCTAGTGACTCCCTATTAGTAATATCAAAGTATTCAACAGTTAATGGTTCGATTACATCAATAACATTAAGAGATGAAACATCGTCTGGATAACGCATGTCATCATAAATATTGAAGTTGATAACTTCACCATCAAATTCCTTGAAAGTTGTACCATCATAAACATCTATTTTCGCTCTGTCAGTTTTCATAAATGGTCTCCCCAAAAGAATAGAACTGGAATTCGGTGAGTCATCATCTCCTATATCTAAGACATAAAATCAACTGGGAATATCAACTCATTCACTTGGACTAAAACATCTTCCAACACACCTTTTGGGTGTACCAGTGAACAATCAACCAACTGAATGATCATACATGTTCTTTTTAGTGGCCCAACCCCGATAGTTTTAAAAAGTAAATACGGAAAAACATTTATTAAGGCTCCTAAGTCCAATATGACACATGAAACTGAAAGGTTCCCCAACTTGCAAGGAACAGTAAATACTCTTGGATCCTTGCACTTTGGGGTAACCTTTTTTGTAAAATTATTGAAACATTTTTTCTGAGCTTAACTGTTTTTTTACCTTTCAATTTTCTTTTTGAAGTACATAGTTCTTTTAGAAATTTCTTGTATCGGGGTAGTTGTTATATAACATCAAGAAGTGGAATGTTTACCTCAAAATTTCTGAAGAAGTCCATAATCTCTCTGTCTTGCTTTTTTCTTTTTTTGTGTTTTCAGTCTTGAGGAAAACGGAGGAGGAGTAATTTTCACCTCAGCTTCAGCAGGCTTGTCCTTTTTTTGTTCTTCTCCAGTTGCTTCAAATTCTTCCTCAACTGGAATTTCTTCTTCCTCGTCTTCTTGATGACTTGGTCCTTGGTAATTTTTACCACTCTGAGAATAACACCACAAGAGTTGTGCCTTGTGTTTTTCTCAGTCTGAGATCAGAACTTTCCTTGTGCTTGTGCTTCCATCTTGCTCATGGAGTTCGCAAGTTGTGATACATGTTGCTCCAAAATTTTGATACTTGACTTGGTCTCATTCGGAAAAGCTTTTGTACTAGTAGAAAGACTTTTAACAATGTCTTCCAGAGATATGCTGGAATTGCTAGCTAATTGATATTAATTAGTTTGATGCTGATTTTGCTGAAAACATTGTTGAAAGCCAGGAAGAGGTAATGATTTCTTTGCTAGAAGTTTTGTTGGGGTCTTGGTTGGAGGTTTGTTGGGTTTGCATAGTATTTGTAAGGTGTCGAAGTCAATTGTAGATTTATAGGATTTGAAAGAATGTATTTTGTAAGGGTAGTATAGATTCGAAGCTTTCATGTTTACGCCCTTATGTACTTTTTTCTCACTTCTGTCATTCGTATAAATAGGGATAGAGTAACTTTGGCACTTCGTGTTTTTACTCTAAGAACTCTCTTGTATCTTTTAGAAGTATAAATGAGCTAGCCAGATTATATTTACTTCTTGTGTTCTAGATTCAATTCAAACTCTGATTTCATTTCGTTTCCTCGATCAATACGAACTACATTTGGTATCAGAGCAGGACTCTTACAGATGATTTCTCATTTTCTCGAGTTCTCAAAAGTTTTTGAATCTCTTTTTAGATTCAAAATATTATGCACTTTTGATTCTGAAAATCTCTTCAGATCAGCTATATTGATTCTATTTTGCTTTTAGTTTGTTAAATCGAGTGTTCTGTGTTTAATTTCTATAAGATTCATTCCTCAGATTCCAAAATTTTAAGCTTTTTATTTTTCAAGTACGTACAATAATGACGAACTTCAATATAAACACGATTACTAGATTTTCTCATCTTCTTGGTTCTTCAACCAAAATTCCTATGTTGATTCCTGAATACTATGATCAATGGTCTAATAGGATGGAAGATTATCTGTCTAGGATCGATGAAGATCTATGGTAGTGTATCAAGAGTGGAAACGTTCATCCATCAATGCTTGCTGAAATTGGAAATGTTGGTTCATCTACTGATGTTACTACTTAAACTAAAAAATACAAAGCAAATGATAAACGATGTTTGAGAGAACTACGCAGTATCAAGAGTGGAAACTTTCATCCATCAATGCTTGCTGAAATTGGAAATGTTGGTTCACTACTAGAAAAACAGCCTTTTACGACGCGCAAACCACGACACTCATTGATTTATGTTACGCAAAAGAGAGTGACATTAAAAAAGAGTCATCTCTTCAAAAAATTTAAGGATTTAGGTCATGCATTATTGTGTGCCCTTAAATTAGTGTCTAAACTAAAAAAAAAAAAAAAAAAAAAAAAAAAAAAAACACGGAGGGCACATGTGTGTCATCTAAGGATGTCGCTTTATAAATTTTAATGGAACGCGCGTTCCATCCTTTAATAACAGGGGGAAATGAAATCCTAAAAAATTAAAAACCCCGCTTTTCTTCCATCTTTTAGGGTTTCCATGTAAACCCTAGACCTCATTTGTAGGTTTCGTTCTGTGATCAATTTGTTGCTGTTCGGGAAGGAATAACGAATTCATCCTCTCCATCAACTGAAAACCTTCACTCTCTGCTTCTCCTTTTCTCTGTAAACCCTAGACCTCATTATGCGGCTATAACTCTTCCTCTTTTTCGTATTTTTGGTGTTTGGCAGCGATATAGTGGTCAACAATGTCAACTATCCTCTTTTATCTACCATTTTCTCCCTCTGAGACATTAAATACACGCCATCCCAAGATTGGAAGAACTAGGGCTTTTGTGCGCTGGATCTCACAGGAAACAGGTTTTCCTCGTCCCCACCCTCACCCATCCAAATTCCTTCTTCTTCAAATGATTATATGTTCTCACCTCTCAACCGTACCTAAATGGATATCTCTGTCTCTCTTGCATCTATTCTCCCAACATCTCTCGTGCTTTCCTATTTACAGCTAGAGTTTGAGAGCGAAAAGAAAAAAGAAAAGATGTGCCTTTTCTTCCTCTTTCTTCCCCTTTTCTTCCTCTGGTTCGATCACAACCCTTCTTCTCCCTTCTTATTATTTTTTTTTCGATTTGCAGGTGAGGGTGTGAGGTGGCGTTCGAAGGTTGTCAAGGGGTTGTGAGGAGATGATGGTTGGTGATTGTTCGGTAATGGAGAAATCAGGGTGTGTTTTGTGACTGATTAACAAATTTCAGCAAACTCCAAGTGCAGAAGCCCTAAAATTTTAAGAAACTCTCAGATGGAAAAAGGGAGAAAAGAAAAGAACAATGTATAGAGAATAAGGAAAAAGAAACGGAGAAATAACTAAATCCATCTTCGATCCCAACCAGATGTATGTAAGATTTTCTACACTTTTTATTTTTTGTCCCAATGTTGGCTGGATTGTCTGATTTAACATCTAACTCGAGACCAAGAAAAGCAAGCAACAGCGAGCACAAATCATATCCATAGAGAGACAGCGCACAATCAGTGAATGCTGCGAATCTCATATCTTCCTGAGTCCTCTTCCCGTAACAACAACAAAGATCTGCTTTCGCGTTGTTACTGATCTTAGCCTGCTCCGTTTCAATAGTGAGTTTATCAGATTTTCTAGGCCTTGTATTCATCCCGATTGTCACTGATTTGAGATTTTATCAAGAATTTAAACTGATTCAAAAGATGTATTTTCGTTTTAGCATGTGAGTGCAGAAGAACTTCAATCATACTCATAAATCTTGTTGTCTTCTCAGGCTTTCGAGATGCCGATCTCAGGTACCTCTTTTGATTTTTGAGATGCCGGGATTGTTTAAATCAGATCTTCTAACATTTGATGTTGTTGGCTGTAATCCATGGACATAACTAGGGTGGCTCAATCTGTCCAGATCCACAACTTTTTTGATCTGGTTGTCTAATAGATTAAACTATTATCCTTTTTCATTGGTTAATTGATTTGACTTTGTGACAAGCTGATTCTTGCTACCATTCTTGCTCTCTTCTTAACCTTATAAAATCAAGGGACATATTATATCCCTTTCTCCGCCTTATTGGCTTATTTTATTTGATTCATATCTTTTGTCTGTTGCACTTTCGCAAGGGTTTTTTTTAGTCTTCTTTACTTACTCTATTTCCGTTGAGGTTTTGTATTGTTTCTTTTTTCAGACTAAGAAAGTTTTACCTACTTAATTTGGTAAATCGAAACAATATTGATTAAATGTCATTGAAGATGTGAAATGAGTTTGTTGGATAACTTGCTCTAGGTTACTCGAGTTTACATGAAGCTAATATGACAATGTAATAATATCAAACTAACACAATGGAACCATGGTTGTGTTTATTCCTGTATCTCTCTCTCTCTCTCTCTCTCTCTGTGTGTGTGTGTGTATAATTGATCTAATAAGATCACCTCACTCTTTTCTTATGAAAAAATTTATCATCTCTCTATAGTCTATGTCTATATACATAAGACATGACACAACACAATGGCATTGCTCTGTGTCTAGTGTGCATTGAGTGGACTGATGTCAATTGGATAAAATTGTAATCTTTTTTGTCTCATGTAACAAACACAGCCTTAATTATGGAAGTTCTCATTTTACCATTTGGATTTTTTTTCCAATTTTGGGTTTATATTTTTGTAATGGTGAGTGAATGCCTTGTTTCCCTGGCTAATCGGTTTTCTTGTTTGTAATTGTAGGACTGCGTGAGAAGCATAAACAAGAACTCGAGAATATGACATTAATAGCACAACCTTTCAAAACATTGAAGCTTTTTATAGTGGCTGTTGTTCAGTATATAAGCAGATCACTGGTATACCTTCTGACACATGTTGTCTGGCTTATGCTTTTTTCACACTCACAGTTGCAGCTGGACTCTTGTTTCTGTCTGTGGATGGTCCTCATGGAAAGGTACTTCTTATTGCCTATTACTTACATTAGGCCATTACAACTACATATTTCTGCAGTTTTATTTGAAATAATGATGTATATGAGTTCTCTCAAATGAAAGCTTCTATTGATCACGAGATCATCCATAAAACCAAGTAAATACCATTTTTTGGTCTCTATTTATTGATCTTTATTAGTTGTTTTCCAAGAAAAGCATAAAATCAAACCAAAACCCAAAATCAGTTGTACATTGATCTTCAATAGGTATTCTGTTTGTTAACGAATTCTTTGCCTATGATTCATCGTACTCAAAGTTCCTTCAAATTATCGATGAGGTTGTAAGTTCCTTGGTTTTCATGATTATATGTTACATATTAATATATAATGATGAATATGTGATACATGTGTTCTTGTAGCATGTTGAAGAGCTTCTTGAATATGCAAGGTTTGGACTGTGGTGGGTAGCTCTTGGTGTTGCATCTTCCATTGGTCTTGGTGAGCTCAATCAACTTTATCCCCATTATCATTTATTATTATTATAATAATAGCTCAATAGCTAATTTAATAAAAAAAAAATAATACTTCTTCAGTGGCTAAATCAATAAAATGGTGAAAGTACAAGTGTTGTTCTTTATTTTTCCCTTTAGATAATTATATTCTTGCATTTTCATTTATTATGTTCTTTTTTGGAAACCAAAGTTTTTGAAGTTTTGTTAAGTTGTATTTGTAATTAATTGATCAGGGTCTGGGCTACACACTTTTGTTCTATATCTGGGTCCCCACATTCCTTTCTTCACAATAAAAGCAATGCAGTGTCGTCGGGTGGATCTTAAAAGTGCTGTTGATGATACAATAAAGTTAAATAGAAGCCCTACATGACTTCAAAAGGATTGTTCAGAGTTTGGGCCTCCATTGTTTTTTATCCTCTCAAGGTGTTCAGGTTCCACTCAGCAGCATTTTGCCTCAAGTACAAGTAGAAGCTATTATTTGGGGCCTTGGAACTGCATTAGGAGAGCTACCTCCATATTTCATTTCTAGAGCAGGTTTCTTATACTTATTCTTATTATTATTTTTTCCTTTTCGTATATTGCTATTCCCTTCTCAAATTGCTTTTTTTCCTCATTAAGTGATACACTGATAAAGTGCTATCTAGATAAATGATGTTTGTGAAAACATGACAGAAAATTATTTGAATATTGTTTTAAAAATGACAAAAAATGTACAGTTTTTTGCAGCAAGTATCTCAGGTGATAAAATGGAGGTGACAGAAGAACTGGATGCTTCCTCATCAGAGAATAATGGAGTTGCTTCAAACTTAAATCACATGAAGCGTTGGTTCCTTTCACATGCTCAATATTTAAAACACAGCTCCTTTACAAAATTTGAGTCATAGTTTTTAATAATAGTGTTATTGTGTTGATTTAACAAAAGTGTTGGTGGGTTGATTGGTATTTTTATGCATATTTGATTAAATTAATTGATCAGGGTAAGTATCTCTATATATGCTGGAATCAGGGGAGGAATGGAATTCTTCATTCCATTGGAATGGAAAGAAAACATTTTGTTTTGTCTAATTTAACGGATTGGGGAAAACCCTACTCTTTTTTTTCCTTATAATTTTATATGTATGAGTTATTAGCATGATCTGTTAAATTTTGATAAACATGGGCAGCATGTTAGGCGTGCAGCTGTTTTCGCTTTGAGTATAGCTGGCCACAACAAGCCAAATCTCATCAAGGGCCTTCTTCCATAACTGTTGCCACTTATTTATGCAGAACTCATAGGCGAGGTTTGGAATATTAGTTTTAGACATAATTATATTATTTTATCTGTTAACACATGTTCATCATCTAAACCTGGTATGCGGTATTTCAATTGATAAATATATTTATCAAGATTTTGAGTTGGCCATATTTATTTAACATTTGACTTTATATTTGCAGGTGCGTTTAATACGATATTGTGTGGAGGGGTCCCTTTTTTTTGGTGTATGAGTTCATTGAAAATGGAAACTTAAGTCAACATTTACATGGAACAAGTGAATTTAAGTTCAATTGTATATAAATGAGTTCATTTTTTTATAAGATTTATTCACTTTTGGAATAATTATTTGTATTTGACATATTAGTCAAATGAATTATCTTTGTTATTTATGGTATTTTATTTTGTATTATGAGATTTTTAATTTATTATTTAATTTGAAAATTAGTAAATCTATAAATAATATATTTTTTAAACATTTAAATTATGATACGCAAAAATGTGTGTCATCTTCATTTATGACATGACCTTTCTTGACAGGGGCTTTCTTGATACACATTGCGTGTCATTAACACGTGTGTCGTAAGGTTACGACACGCAAATGCGTGTCGTCTTCCTTTATGACAGGGCCTTCCTTGATACGCATTGCGTGTCATAAACGCGCGTCGTAATTGCGCGTCGTAAATGAGCGTCGTAAATGCGCGTCGTCTATAGACGATGCGCAAAAGCGCGTCGTCTCTCTTTATGACAGGGCCTTCCTTGACGCGCATTTGCGCGTCGTCTGAGCCTTTTACGACGCGCAATGAGCGTCGTAAAAGGCTGTTTTTCTAGTAGTGGTTCATCTACTGATGTTACTACTTATACTGAAAAATACAAAGCAAATGATAAACGATGTTTGAGAGAACTACGCAGTGCTCTTCCACCAATAGTATATAACTATGTTCATGGTTGCAAATTTACTAAATAAATTTTGGATACTTTGAAAGATACGTATCAAGGGAACGAGAATATGAAGACAAGTTTTGTTAAGCAGTGTCTGCTTGAATTAGGAGAATTCAAACAGAAAGAAGGTGAGAATATTGAACTCTACTATGATTATCCGAATGAATTAATATTCAAATGCAGTCGATTTGGAGTCAATCATACTACCTTTGAATTCAACTTGACTTTTCTTATTAGGTTTTGTAAAGAGTAGTGTAATATCAGTCTGATGATTAAGACCCAACAAGGTTTTGACAACTTTTCTCTTAGTGATCTCTACAATGTTTTGAAGGCTCATGAAAGTGAGATCAACGAAATAGCTGAAGAAACAAAAATGAGTTTGGGTGGTCATCTAACATTGACGTCGAAGGTGACAGTTAGAGAAGTTGAGGTCGAGTCAACTGAGAATGGTGGATCCAAAGATGAAGGTCTGATTGTTAATTCTGATGACGAAGCGGTAGTTTTTTACTCAAACAATAAAGTGAAGAAAATTTTCAAGAACCCATTCAATTCGAAGTTTAAAGGAAAATGAGATTTAAAAGGAAACTCTTCTACTATTAAGGGAATGAGATAGGAGACAAAGGTGGATAAGAAAGATAACAAGTCTGAGGTTGCGATGCCAGAGAAGAAATTGAAAGGTGACCCTGGTTTTGATTGCCATTACTATAATGGTGTGAACCATATGGCAAGTGACTGCATGTTGAGGAAGTCAGAACAAAGACGAAAGGGATGTCTTTGGTTGTAAGAGAAACTCACGGAGGGGATGGGACGTATCAAATCTGGTCATCTGGATCAGATGATGAGAAAATGCGAAAACCTACGCATGGAGCTATGTTTGCTAAGTATGAGGAGGAAAGTGAGGAAGAAGAGAAGGTGACTGGAAAATGCTTCGTTACTACTGGTTCCGACAAGTCTCCAATGACTTTGACGACATATACTCATCTTGAATCCTTTGAACTTCCTTTTAGTTCATATGATGCTATCTTGTCTGACTTCAATAATACTTTATCTTGCTTTAATGACATGTTTATTTCTGTCAGTAGTGACGCTGAGATATCAAAATCCTTACTACTAGAATCTTAGAATATATTGCAGTCGAAGCGAAGTAGAGTAGATCATTTACAAATGGAGCTTAATAATGTTACTTGTTATAGGGATTGGTTGGGAACAGACAATTGTATTCTGCTTAAACAGAGAAACATATATTGTAATTCAGCTAAGAGACTTTATGCTAAGTTGACTGATTTATATCATTCATCGGACAAAGCAAAGAACAACATAGGAAACTTTTTCCTTTCTTAACTTTTGAAAGGGAAAATATAGACTCAACTGCCTATGACTGTAAGAAAAAGATTTTTGAGTTTGACAAGGTCCCGAATGACTCATATGTATATGTTATTGTTAAAATAGATTAATGTTTAGATGAAAATGATCAGGTTAATATTGTGAATAAGACCTTGACCAAAAATGAACAAATGAAAATTTTGCAAAAGACTAAGCATTCGACATTTGACTCTCAAAACAATTTTGCTGATACCGAAGATGATTATGACAATATCAGCGAAATTGAGGAGGCGGAAGTTGTTGATTGTTCTCAGCTATCTTTCATTAATGTCACTTTGATGGCTAAGGGTAAAGAAATTTGTGATGATTATTTGGTTAAAGTTGACCCTGACCAACCCTCAACATAGAAAGTTCGTGACTATGATCATGTGACTGTCGAAGATAGTCAAACCGATAGTGATAATGATAAAGAAGATGTTCCGAGTGAAACAACTATTCCAAGAGTTGTTGTTGATTAACTGTATGAGGATATAGAGAAATTCGAAAAGGTAATGAAGGAAAAAGGTCCTTATTATCTCGAATCGAACTCTATCTTTTCTCCAAACTTCAAATGCACAGATGATGTTGTTTTTCCAAATCAAGTGTTTGTTACCTTAGGAAATGGTGGCAAAGTAAAACCGGAGATCAACAAAATTGTTGTTGAGGAAAACAAAGCAATTTCAAAAGAAGGATTTTTCTCAACTCAAAGTACCGTCGAAAACAATCCTAACAAAAACTCATCCACTTTTAAAAGGAAAAAACTAAAAAGAGTTTGGGAAGTAAAGAAAGAAAAAGTCAATGATGACAAACCTTCAAATGAATCAGTTTCTCAAACTTAAAACACAAAAGCTCGAATATTTTATGAACAAATTCAAAAGACCTCAAAAGATGAAGGAATTTCGATGTCTAAAGCAAGGGAAAAGGTTTTTTGGAAAAATGTTGTCTCGTAAGGAACAAAAGAGTTTTGTTAACACAATCATCTAAACAGAAAAGGTTGAAAAAGTTAAGACTTCTTCTCAAAATAAATCTTTTGTTCAGAACAAATCCGCTCAAAAACAAAATTATTTCTCAAAAAGTCATTCCAAAGTTCACAAGCCAAGTCAAAAACTAAATGTTCAAAAACAAAGAAATGAGAATTTTTGTTAAAATCAACAACAAAGGACTTTTGTTCCTAATCAACAAAATGCAAGGTTTTCACAAAATAATTTTATAGAAATGGTTTTTCAAAAAATAAACAAATATTTTTTCCTCAAGTTCAAAATCAAAGAACATTTACAAATGAAAAACAAATTTTTCATTAAACAAGTTTTGGTCATAATAAACTTTTTCAAAATCGTTACCAACCACATGCACAATCGACATTTCCAAAATGACACTTCGATAAGCTGGAAGTCAATAGGAAGAGAAATGAACCATTCAAACCCACAGAACCTCACTTTTCCAACCTTGTTTCGAAGCAAAAAGTTAGAGCATCGTTTGCCAAAGGGAAATCGGATGTGGAGAATATTAATCACTGGCTCGAAGGCATAGGAAAGCCTTATCAATCTGGGAAGTTTTCTCAATAGGAAATCCGGTATGCTTATGAAAGATACTTAAATGAGTCTCAAACTAGTAGTTCTTCTTTAAGGGAATCAAATCCATCTGTTAAAAAGTGGAAAGTTGTTCCCAAAGAAAAAGTCGAATCACAACGAATTGTCGATGGTAAAGGGAAATTCAATATCAACTATAAATGATTGAATGATTTCATTTCGATATCTAAGTCTGTGGAAGTTGACTTAATCGATAGTTTGAAATCTAAAGTTCATAATTGGGTTTTAGGATCTTTATTTGATAATGCATTTCAATCTAATCACCAAGTACCCAAAAAGCATTAGGGACCTAAAATTTTCCATTGATTGCAAGTTTTATGTGATGATCAATACAATGAACATTGGTACATTGATAATGGTTGCTCACGTCACATGACTGGTAGGAAGGAAAATTTGCAAGATTATTAAAGCTTGGAAAATGCTGGTGTGGTGAATTTTGGGAATAATAATAAATGCAAAGTTAAAGGATATTGCAAAGTCGTGAAGGGAAAGTTCATGGTTAATAGAGTGGCATATGTCGAAGGTCTTCAGCACAACTTAATAAGTGTCTCGCAACTTGTTGTGGGCACTGGAAATCAAGTGGTATTCGATGAAGGAGGAAGTGTCATTTCGAATAAAGAAACCAAAGATGTGTTGCTCAAATTGAAAAGAAAAAGATATATGTTCACTCTTGATATCAAACCAATCATTGGTGTTCCTTTTTTATGCTTTCTTTTGAAGGCGTCGTTTGATCTAAGCT